CTTTAGTCATTGTGCAGAGATATGTTGAACCAAATTTACTGAATTACGAATCTGCTTCACAGTAGTGATTCGTTTCACACACAACAACTGTTGGAAGGGGGACAATTATTATCACTAAAACGAATAAATCGTTTGATAAAGATGTTTACTACACAATCGGGGTACGTTTATACCTCATAATGCATTAAACAAAGACATAAAACAGTTTATTACTGAAAATCAATAAGCAAATTATACTTATTTGCCAACCCCTTACGAAGGACGGGTACTCTGCTAGTATATAATAATTAATTGTGGTTGCGGGACAGAGACAACAATACAACCAACAGTGATGTTGTGAGCATTGTTGGGAACTAGCGCTCCTGGCGGTGGGCTGGGACAATCGGCTACATCGGACACTACAGACACAGACGACAGACAGACGTGCTTGGTCGGTCAACGAGCGTAGTGAGTGTGTGTGTGTGTGCGCGTGAGTGTCACAGTAGTCATACAGTGGTGTCGGCTCCAGTTCGTGGTCTACTGCATATCGATTAACCAAGTGAGTTATTAACATAAAATTATATATTCATAGTTTTGTAAAATAAATATAGTGCATCAACCACTTGTGCATTCATTCATTAGCGAGTAAAACAACTAAATTTATAAAATGTAATTTTGGTTTACGGACGCATTTATTGAAATGAGAACTATTGCAATGTTTTGACTGCTCGGTAAAAACCACGTTGTTATGGTTAAACTGTATTCTAAACTCACATTTCCATCGCGTATTCGTGAGAATACTGTGTTTTTATTTGTCTTCTTCCATCGAAAAACAATATAATATGGTCTACAAAAAAAAATGTTCTACTAATAAGTCGATCGGTTTTAATGAACGGAACGGAGTCTATTTGGAATCTTTAAAACAGAACCGGTGGAAGCTTTCAAAATGTGTAACGTTAATGTTTGGTACCGTATACTTTATACATTTTATTTCTGCTTCAGCCCAAAGTATAATAAATAATAGTGTGGTAAAATGTTAATAAGTTTTGGAAACCTAACCAAAATTATAGCTAATTATGAGGAAACATTGACTGACAAGTACAAAGTAATTTTTCCATATATCAATTTTTCCATACTTTCTGCCTAAAGCAATAGTCAATAATGACACCTGCAGACTCCGTAATGTGAATAAACATGACATGGAAATAACACGGTCGGTATTTAGCACGTGTTTACTTGTTTGAGACACATGTTACAAAAGCAGTAATGATTATTATTAAAATTGACAATGTTTATTGACTCGAAAGTAAAAGTCCTACTACTGTACCTGATATTTTGCGTGCAACACTTTAAAGCTAGATTTAAATATTATTTCACAGTGATTGAAATTTACAAAAAAAAAAAAACGAAGACCGTAAAATGAAATAGATATACAGAATTTTGAGTGTTAAAAAATGTGGTTAGGTTGTCCAATATTTTTTTGCTCGAGCTATATCGATTCATCTCTTATCAAAAACTTTGACTGAATACAACGTCAAAACTAAATACCTCGCACAGAATACCTGCAGACCAAACGAATTTGGCTGGTTGCATTTTTAATAAAACAATCCTTACCCTACATGTCATATTTAATTTAAATTTCCCATTTAAAAACGTTAGACCAGGTTTTACGAATACCGAGGTTTGCTCCTACAGTGAAGGTAATAAAGAGATTTTAGTGAAATCGTAATAGCTTAGTACATTACATACATGGAATTAATACATTTTCAACATGTTATCAAACTAGATCAAGAACGACGCGGTTAATATTTACTAGTTTTTTTTTCTCCGTAGCCAATAAGTTAGGCCTACCAATAAGGTAGGTACCAAAATGAGTCGTTATAACATGGTTATAACCAATTATTTTATTTAAGCCCTACACAACTGAAAATTGAGATTTTTCTTTTTTAATATCAATTTTTACAAACAGCGTTTTAGTCTCTGGTCTGGGGGACATCAAAGCGAAAAATAATCCCCGGTCTTATATTTTGAATCCGACCTATATTAGGATCGTTTATTGAAATGCGAGTCCAATATATCTCGTATTTGATCTATTGATCTATTTGACACTATATTCGATGAGATCATCTTCACACACGGTAGTTCTCGTTTATTTTTAGCAGTCTGTATGCGCTTCTGACAGTAATTACTAACAAACAGCTGATAAAAGCGGTGACGTCACTTGACGTAAGCAAAGCTCATCGCTGTGATGTGGTAAGCATAATATGTATACATATAACCTGTAAACACCTTTGGGTAATTTTGTTTATCATGACGTAAAGCTGCTGTTTTCGTTCCTCCAGCTCAGCACTTCTTGCTAGATTTATTGTTGCGAGTAGGCCTACATTCCTTGGTTGCCCCAGGGTTGTTCCTGGTTACATTTCCTCATACAATTTAGGGAACTTCAAGCATTACTGTTACGAGGGAAATTAAGCTTGTCATTATCACTATCATTATCTTTAGGCCGTTCACTTCTGATTGTGATTGTTAACTGTTGTGTATTAAGCTGAATATAAATTCAACGTGAATGTGATCTGTGTAAATTGTAGATGACATGTTTTTTAGACAAGACCATTTATCTCCAAAGATCAAGAACTGTTTGTCCCAGTTTTAGGCTATCGATAAAATACAGTTTTCCAGGATCTAATCAACAACAATGTGCCCACTATATGTTTTATTTCCTTCATAGGAAAAGCCCACATTTTAGTATGATCCAAAACAAAAAGTCAAACCTAGATTAGTAAGCAATTTGTGTTCATCTGTATGATGCTGACCATACATCTGTAGAGGCGTGTCATAGTCATAGTTCATAGAGATGCACTTCTGGTAATGGCAATAGAAATCAAAAGCTTGTAAGATTTTTAAACAAGTTAGGGTAATATTTACATTGAGCAATTAGCTGACATAACCCTGAGAAGTTATTCCTTCCCCAGAGTTACTTAACAGTACATTGAGATAGCCCGAGGGTTGTTTACCCTGAGTGTTGTCGTGTTATCTCTGCTGCGGTTGACCTTGAGGCAGGTGTCGCCCCTTATCACTGTTTGCGCCGTATTCTCTACCTCTCTCTTTCTCTCAGTCAATCGCTGGTGGTTGCGTTGTTTATATATATATATGTGTGTGTGTGTGTGTGTGTATTGCCAAGCAGACTTGTAGTAAATACTACCATTATTACCATTGGGAAGTTTCTCACAGTCTTGTTTCTCACATTGATGACGATTAGTTCCAATATAAACAACATTTTAAAACAATGTCAAAACAAGTAAATCTCTCATTAGTAATCCGACTTATTGAATCACAGATCTGTGTGTGTGAATAAAGCTAAAATAAAGTAAATGCATCATAGATCGAACTATCCAAACTTATACTGTACACAATTACGTGATCTATATGTAGGCCTAAGAAGATTTAAGTATTTGAAATTTAACAATGAAAAGGTTCATGAAATTGTGAAAGTTACCGCTACCTAGGCCACAGACTATAGAACCAATTATTATTGTTCAGATAATGGTCTATAGTCTGTGCCTAGTATGTTATACAGTAGTTTTGATATATTTATGTTCAGCTTCGCTCATGCTTTTAGTTTTTAGCAGGGCTTTTGGAAGTATATAAAACACGTTTGCGTTGATAACTTTGACTCTTTCACGTTCTGATAAACTTATTGATTCCCTTATACGATGCTAAATAAAGAGCTAAAGAGTTTCTGTGATCAATGCCGGTAGTAGGACTAGTCATCTGCGGTATCTTTTAACATGCCTGGTAACAGGTTCACTACCGGGCGTCACACTCCTCTAGGTACAGTATTTGTAATCTACTGACTCCTGGTACCGGTAGTGAAATAATTAAAAGAACCACATTTTTACTTTCTCTTTCTATACATAGTACCTATATGGAGAAAGTATTGTTATCGTAAAAATTGTCGAGTTTGAGTTTTGAGGGGATATATCCGTTTGGGTCCCCCTGAACCCAAAAATTGGATTTCGAAGTGATGTCTGTGTGTGTGTCCGCGTGGTTTGTATCAGTACAGAGCTACCATGGAATGTAGGTGCTAATCCATTGTATCTCCAGGTGTTTTTAATTTTTTTCGAAATTTGTATTTTTAATGGTGATTTTCCCATAAAACCTATAAAATAACGGGGAATCAGATTTTCTTGAAAATGGCCGGAATGCTTTTGATAACAATTTAGTATATTATAATCTTTTAAATTCTAGACAGAATGCTACAAATCCCAATTCCGTAAAAACTACGGTTCTAAAGTTGTTGCAAATTATGTTATTTTCCCATAAAACCCCCATAAAATAACAAAAAATCGTAATTCAGAAAAAGTCCAGTTTCGACTAAAACTAGTTTGTTATGGTCCTTTAAGTTTTGAACAAAATGGTACACATCCCATTTCCATAAAAAATACGGTTTCAAAGTTATTGTAACTCATATTATTTTCCCATAAAATACAACTAATCGGATTTTAGGGCAAAAGCCGGTTTGATTAAAATTAATGTGATATGGTCCTTATAATTCTAACAACACAGTGCAACCCCCCCCGTAAAAATTACGGTTCAAATGTTATTGCAACTTTTTCTGATTTTTCGCTATAAAATATCATATGGTTACTCGGTTACTCCCACCGCTTACCCATGATAAAGATTGTTAACAAAATTATAGGAGAAAATATGTGTCAGATTGCTGATACCATTTATTATTCTGCGTTTTATCTGTGTTGGGAATTATTGGAGCATTGTCTATCTATCCTCCTGAGTCCTGTAATTTTTATTTCATTTTAACACTAAATACCTAATGTCCTTATATAAGACATAATATCATTACTTGCCTAAGAACTGAATTATTTTAGAATATTTAATGCGCAGTTGCCGAACGTACTTATATAATGCCACAGTTTTTAAAAATCAGCCAAGGGAAATTTTACTTTCTGGACCACTCGCTTTTGGCAACCCTGGCTATAGTATGATTTTTGCTGTTGATGTAGTTTCACCAATTGCCACCAGAGCTCTCTGCTCTCTTTGTCTGAGTGAAAACAAGATGGCGAGTAGAAGGACTCATGAAGACCTAAGATTTAATTGCCGTAAGTACTTATTTAATTTATACCAATGTTGATTTGAGTGTTATAATCATGAAGTGTAATGGTTTGACTGACTATTTATTAAATAATTTTCTATCCAGATGCATTATTTAAGTTATTATTCGTTCTTAAATGTACATGTCCTTTTAGAAGGACATCAGGTCTTTATCACAAACATCCCATTTTTTGGTCTGGTTTATAAAAGGACATTCGGGCCCTACATCCTATAGTCTTATTTTTAAATGGGATTTTAAAAGGACGTTGGTTTTGTACATAGGTCAAGTGTTGTTTTAGTAATGTTATTTATTTTATCTACAAAAGCCTTGGTTTCCACTTTTGCTGTAAGCACTAAACAATTGTGTTTGTATTACAGTGAATGACGAGGAAGTAGATCAAGCCCTCAATGAGTTGGTTGGAGATTTGGATCTAGATCAGTCAGATTTTGAAGATATAGGAGATGACGAGCCAGATATGATGCCACATCCAAGAGGGCCACGAAACATGGGTCTAAGTCTAGAAGAGTTATTAGGAGACTGTGATGATGATACGGATGAAGATCCGGATTATAATCCAGATTTAGAAGATATCCCTAGTTCAGATTCCGAATGTGCGGATGAATCAGCTAAACCCAAGCGAAAGGTAAGAATTTAAACTATAGTAATTTTGTGCATCAACCAACCCAAAGTAAATATATTTTTTTAAGAGAATTCTCCTGAAAATGGCAAAAATGCGTTTTAAAGTTTATATTTTCTACTACTTTAGTAGTACCTTCAAGGCCAAAATGTAAGTATACCTTCAGGGAAAGCGCTCAGAGGGCAGTCATTAACTATGTGGTAAAATTAACAACTTTTTGTTTCTTGTGATGAGTAACTAGTTAAATTTAAACATGAAAACTTTCGTGAAAACTCGAAACCTTTTTTCAGAATAATACATTTAATATATCAATCCTAAAATAATTCTTTTTTTACAGCGGGATACAAAAAATTATGGACAAAATGCTAGTGGCAAAAAAAAGAAGAAAACTGCTACTGTGAAGCCGGCTGATCCTGGACCAAAGTTGACTGCTAAATCATTTAAACCTGAAGAAATCAAATTGATGGAGCCAAGCTACAAGAAAGAAGAATGTGATGACTCGTGGGACGATGATACATTTGTTTATCAGTACTTTGATGATGAACTCTTGGATTTGATGGTTTTAAAGACAAATCAAACTTCAATTCACATAACAGGTAAAAGCTTAAAATTGACGTTACAGGAGCTTAAAATCTGGATTGGCATGAACTGTGTGATGTCAGCCCTAAACTTTCCGCAGATTAGAATGTACTGGGAAAAACGATTCAGGATCCCTTGTTTAGCCAGTGCAATGACCCGTGATAGATTCTATGCGATTCGTACATCACTGAAGGTTGTTTTTGACAATGATTTCTCAGATGAAGAGAAAAAAACTAACCGTCTTTGGAAAGTAAGGCCAGTACTAGATAGAGTTCTCCAAGGCTGTATGAATCAACCACGGCAAAAAGAGTTGTGCGTTAGTAGTGATTAAAGGACAAGAGTAGGGAGGGTGGAGGCGGTGGATAATTAGTGTAATTACTCTAATTAGTGTAATTACTCTAATTAGTGTAATTACTCTAATTAGTGTAAGTACTCTAATTAGTAAAATTACTCTAATTAGTCTAATTACTACAATTTATGCTAATTAAAAGTGATTAGATGTTGTAATTTAATTAAATGAATAATTTGAAAATCTTTTATGAAAATTATAATATAAATTATAGCACAAGCAGGTGGGCACATCAATCATCCCTCTGTCGATTATCAATTGACAAATGGACACCTAGCCATTACCACGCATTCCAAGATTGATAACAATATCTTGGGCCTTTAGCACAAGCAGCTGGGCGCATCAATCATCCCTCTGTCGTGTTGTCAATGACTTATCATTTGTTGTGTTTAACAAAGCAAAATGACTTGAAGCCTCACCTGTGTTGACGTGTCCCACCGGCTGTAAAGGGTCTATTGAAACGATTCGTTTGTTAAAAGGACCCTTTCATGGTTTTCCTTCAATAATGTGTTTTGCGTTCACAGGTGAGGGTTTAGGGCCGTGAGAAATAAATATCATCCGCTATTGCTTAGTTATCTGTAGCATAATAGCAACCTTTGAAACCAACACCTTTGTGGTACTTCCATTCTCCATTTCCCATTTCATTCTCACCACTATCCTTTCAAATTAAGACCTTTGTGGTCCTTTCATTCCCCATTACCCATTTCATCCCCACTACCATTATACATTTCCACCAAATCTCAACTGTGAGTCCTAATCTCATTCAAACTGTTACTCTGCACCCATAAAGATGTCTTACACCTTGGAATGGAAGTTCACAGAGGAAGACGACCTTGCAAAACTTAATGAGCTCGTCTATCTTGACGAGACTTATGAGTCAGTAAGAATTCAGTACGGCTTCTTAAATAGAAGCTTGAACAAATTTAGAAAGCCGACCGAGAGAATCATCGAAGTACTTTGGTACCTCATCGCCGAAGCAGTACTAAGTGGCAGGGGCTACTTTATGAGAGTACGGATCTTCGACGTATCATTCGAAGACTTTGAGTTTGGAGATACTTATGGAGACACAGAAATGTACAATTAAATTGTAAATAAAGATCCTTTAGTTTTAATTAGTTATAAGTAAATATTGTACAAATTAATAAAAAAAAAATATATATATATAAATAAATAAAAAAAATGAAAAAAAAATAAATAACGAAAAAAAAAACAACAACAACAAAAAAAAAACAATAGATTAAATCATTTGTAGAGCGCATGACGCATTGCATAGTTGTGGAAACTTTGCAATGTAACATATGTAGGTTCTACAAAAGGATAATTGTTATTGAGTTTGATTAAACTCGTTAATTCCTTTTGTAGAACCTGCGTGTGGCACAATACATCGTTCCGGAAACAATGCATTTTAATATACACGCACCACACGAAAATGATTTAAATTATTGAGTTTTTTATCTCAATGACTTAAACCAAAGCCGTGAGGTCGATGCACATTTTGCACATCACTAGTAACTACAAAGTTTTTGTTTTTGTTGTTTTTTTTGTTGTTTTTTTTATTCTTTAATTTTAATGTACATTGTTTAAGGAAAGAGGAAAGAGGAAAGAGGAAGACATAAATTTAATACACACTTATATAGATATGTACTAATGGTAATTATATTAGGGGTTTCGACTTTTTATTTCTGCGTCCAGATTTATGTATCGTTGGATCAGAATTCTCATCGTCTCCAGTGAGTTAGTTTCGCAAAAAGTTCGTAGCTCCCATTCAAAGTTGACATCTGCAATTGCAGATATCAACTGTTCTTCTCTCATTCCTTTCATCATCTCCTTTTCTACACGGTTTTCGGCGTCAAAAACGGCTTCGAGGAGGGATGCATTATCAATAGATTGCATAATGCTCTCTTCAGCTTCCACCAAACAGCAAGCTTCCAGCAACTCCTCATCATTAATATAATTTCCAAACGACATCGTGTTGCTTAGTGGAGTATAGGGCGAGGAATGACATCAAGATAGAAATGATTCCTTCTCCCCTCCCCAATCACAAATCCCTACTTTTTAATCCCGCCCAATTTTTTATACTATTTGATCATTGGTCAGATCATTCCCCCCTATTAGATCATTGGTTGAACCATTCCCCTACTACCAGATTAACCATTTATCCCTCCCACTATTTGATTAACATTCTATTTCATCCATATAAATATCGGAATAAACACCAAACACCAGTCTGTGCTTTACTTTCATGGTATATACTACGGTGCTGTCACATTAGCGACAACTTCAAGATATTAATGTAAGTACTTAATATTATTTATCAAACATATATTGTACAACTTAAAGGATTTGTTTTTACGTTAAACGTCCATATTAAACAAGAAACTATTGAAGAATGTAATCTCATGTTCTATCTTAAAAGATAAATTTTGATACTTGTAAATATTAATGTTATTATTTATCAAACATATATTGTATAACTTAAAAGATTTGTTTTTACGTTAAACGCCCATATTAAACAAGAAACTATTGGAGAATGTAATCTCATTTTCTATCTTAAAAGATGAATTTTGATACTTGTAAATATTAATATTTGCAAGTTAGTTAATGAGCATATATGTGAATGTTAAACATTGCTGAATTATCTTATTATCATATTATGTACATTCCAAATACTTACGTAACAGATAACCGTTATATTTAGCTAAATTGTATAATTTATAAAGACTATAAGGTAATGGTTTAATTGATTTTATATGCAAACTCGAGACCATTTAAATCTTTTACTGAAATATTAAATTTATACTGATAGCTAAGGTTTCATTGATTTTATGTGTACGCTCGAGACCATTTAAATCTTTTGATGTTATTTTATGTGTAAGCTTGAGACCATTTAAATATTTTACTGAAATATTAAATTTAGACTGAAAAAATACCAAAATTGTCTTTGACGAATTACAGGTTATTATAAAATTAACATTCTCGTTGTTTAAAAGGTAGGAGATTTCCCGTAAGGGTTTTAGAAGCATATACTAAATATTAGTGCCAAATAAAAATGATTCAATATTCATTACCATTATAGAGTGTAAACTTATACATCATGGTTTAATTTTCAGACAATGGAGAACTCCACTAGAAAGCGATTTTCGTGCATGTTGTGCGACGCAAGTTTTACACGAAGAGACAATCTTCTACGCCACAGCAGGACTGCTCACGGTGGTGATGTTATCGCATGCTCCAATTGCGGAACCAGGTTCACCAGGGAGGAAGACCTTCAATATCATATTATGATAGTTCATCGTCCATTACCCTTCCAACCGGAGAATCCTGCGTTTAGAGAAGACCCGAGACCCGGACCGTCTAGCGCACCAGATACGATTGTTGAAAACAACATTACAGGTAACTCGATTATACTATGTAATTTTTATATTAATTATTTGAATACTATAAACAGTATTATGTTTAATATAATTAAATATTCGTCATGAAAAAGACTATAAATGCTCTATTGGAAAATCAAAACTTACGCAATGAATACAAAAACAAATCATTGATTTAAATTAGGTCGATTATGATGGCGCTAGATAATTAAAAATAACTATGAAATATACATACGTCCTATTTCTATTTAAATTTATTTATAAAATTATTCCAAGTCTTATCAGTTAGCCTATAACATTTTAAGGTATTAGTAACAAATAATTTCTATTTAATTATTGAGCTATTGTTACCTTAGCCTTTGTTATTGCATACAGATGTTATCCTCCAATATATTTCGCCACATCGATATTTACACACATCACCAACACACATCACCAACACACACATCACTAAGAGGACACACTCACGTCGCGGCGACTTCGCGAATGCGAGCGAGAACGCACAACGGACACCTGTAGGGTACAATGACAATGTCTTTGTTCACTGACTCTGACCTACTGCCGAGAAGGGATGGTTTGCAGGTTGAAAGGCTATGCTTTGTTGGGGCAGGGAACTTTCACTATAGCGGGGTTGCCAATTCGTTCTTAGATTTACATTGTTGCCGTTTGGTGTTGAATTTTCCATGTTATAAATGGTTTCAAAAATTACTGAATAGTTATACTATTCTTTTTGTTAAGTAGGTTGTTAGGTCCATTGTTGATGTGTTTGTAAATTTGGTAGTTCTCTTGTACTTTAGTTATTGTTTTTAATGAATCTGGTTTAGAACTGTTAATGAATCAGGAAATGCGTTTTCGTGGGTAGGATTTTGTTTAAGTTGCTTGGCTACTATTGAGGTTGGGATTATTATGGGCGAAATTGTGCTGGAGGAATAACATCTGTCTGTAAGAACAAAGGCTAAGGTATCAATAGTTCAATAATTAAATATTTCTAGTTCTTTCCACTGGAAAGACAATAAATAATCTAAATAATTTCTTTTCTAACGTGTATTATGTATCCTGTTACAGACAATGTGTGTGATCAGTGTAACAAAGTGTTCACAAGATCCGACGCCCTACGTCGACACAAGGCGTATTCATGTCAAGCAAATCGAAATACTGCGTCAATGACAGACCCCAGACTACCTTCATCCAGTGCAGCTTCATTTCCTATAGAAAACAACCCTACAGGTAACACATATTTACTTACACTTTTAATTGATTTCCTTTCATTTTATTTTCCATATCATTTCCATATCATTTCCATATCATTTCCATATCATTACCATATACAAATAAAAATAATTTTTATTTTCATGAATAGTTTAATTATCACTTTCAGTTAATGATATGTCTGTATTGAAGAATTTTTAATATATTATTTGAAAACTATAAACTTTAATTGTATAGCTTTTGTATACAAACTATATAATCGACTTTTTCGTTGTAGCTCGGTTTGTTTAAAGGTCGGTTACTAGATAATTAATAATGTTTGTACAAATAACCTTATGTTTCTTTCAATTATAATTAAATTATATTAAAGACTTATAAATCCATTAAGTTCTTTTTTATTTTTATTTAACTTTATATTTAATAACAAAATCCCGATATATATTTTCAATAATGACATTCTCGAGACTTAATCAATTTATATTTCACATTTCTAATGCACAGATGAATCCTGTTACAGGTATTGTGTGTGATCACTGTGGCAGTGTGTTCAAAAGACCAGATGCCCTACGTAAACACAAACTGTTTTCATGCCAAAAGAACCAGAAACCGCTACAATTTGGACCAAGCTCAGCTCTCCAAGAACCTGCTTCCCCTGCCACTTCAACATCGTCAAACGACTCAGTGATTGATGATCAAGATGACGTCAACGCTCCTACTCCCCACGATGACATAGTGCCAGAGGGATTTGAGGAATTTGAGACAGCTTTTCGTGGACGATTGAAATCGTACCGTCTCATTGAACCAGCGGAAGAGTTTGTCTCGCTTCAAGAATTTCTGTCAAATGTATTTGAAAAGGTAATTACACTTATTCAACGAACGTTAAACCGCATCAAATCCATTAAAGCCAATTTATTTGTTGAATGTGAATTTACAAATATTCATAACGAAACTTGTAGGCGTT